AGTTCTTAGTTTTAGAAATTATAAAAGTTACAAATTGCCTTATCGGTAAGGTGATTAAGGTAAAATGTGTTCCTTTACTGTATTAACATTAGAAATAGAAGTGGTGGAGGCTGAGGAGGTGATTCAATGATTCAGTGCACTGCTGCTATTTTTGAGGTCTCAGATTCTAGTCTTATCATCTACATGTTACCCACAGATGACTCTACCTCCAGCCCTAAGGGATCCAGGAACCTCTTTTGGCTTCTACAGTTACCAAGTACAAACATGGTGCAGACATGCACACAGTCAAAACGGCCATATATATAACATAAGCACACTTAAAATAAAAGAAAAAGGAAATGGAGCTGATAATATGGCCATCAATTGCAATGGCACCATGGTACAGGCAAGCCACAATCCTTAGTGAGTCGTATTATATGTATACAAATGATATACATTCAAAGCCTCACTACTTAAAACATAATAGACCCAACACTGAAGACCAGGAGGGCTGATGAACATTGGCTTGGTGTATTCTAGAAGGCCCTAAATATTTATGCAACAACAATTCCAAGCTCTGTTAAAGTTGAGATTATTGTTTGAGACTTATGTGCAGCATTATCATAACCAAACTGGTGACACAACTGTATCATTAACCCAGAAGGAAATTTACAAGTCACAAGATAATTGAAATGTTCAGAAGTCAATGAGTTAGTATTATTGCATAGTATTATTACAATTACTGAAAAATAATATAAGGCAAACAAGAAAATGTGAAATGATACTCCCCAAATCACCAAAACACACCATTTCTACAATAACATTGACATATATATTTATATATATATATAGCACTTAAAAGTCTGATTTTCACATGAGCAACTTATAGACTCAACAGGTTGTAATAGGACCATACTTGCAAAAGGACCATGAATTGCAATAACAATTAATGAAAAAAAAGATTCTATAAATTTGAAGGCAAGTGGGGAAGGGCATATGGGAGAATTTGGATGGAGGAAATGGAAAGGAGAAATGTAACTAAATTACAATCTCAAAAATAAACAAAAATATTTTTAAGTGTAAAAAGTCTGATTTTTAGGAATGTAGATGAGCTTTAATCATGTCTGGGTATGTTGTAACTCTTTAAAATATCTGGATTGTAAAAAATAAATCCCCACAGTGTTTATCCTTTAAGAAATTTATGAGACTGAAACAATGTTGAAATTGTCTATACTTTCATCAATACCTATATGTAAAACAATGTGTGGGTGCCATGAGGGACACCAAAGTAAGTTGTATGCTCTAGTCCTTGACAAAGATACTTGATCAAGCTGAGGTAAAGTTAACTGTGACTACTGCAGGTAGGGCAAGTCCCACTGTGGGGATCTCAAAAATGGATGAGAATAAAGTCATGGGAAGAATCTCACCAAGGAACAGATAAGGCAAGGTGTCTTATTATATTTCGTTTAAAAATCATTTGCTATTTTATTTAATCAGTTTTACTTGCTTATGTGCTAATTTTGGACTGTTAGGTATCAAGCCCAGGACCTTGAGCATGCAAGACATATGGTTTGCAACTGAGAGACATTACTATCCTCTGACTATTTCATTGACAAATAGTAACTCTACACATCTGTGGGGACCAATATGACATTTCTACGCATGTGTTAATGGCCATTTCTTGAACCAGAACCTAAGCAAAATTGGGAGAATGGGTTAGTTTGGACTCATTTTCTCAGGTATATTCTGTGATATTTTTAGGAGGATCCATCTCCAACTATTGCCCTTTTCTCTTTTTTTCTTTACTGAAACAAATGTTTGTATCATATATTCTGATCATGTTTTCCATTCATTCATTCAGTTCCTCTCAGATCCTCCCTACCCACACCCCTACCAACGCACCTCTGTGTTCTTTCCCTTTCTTTAAAACAGAGGAAGGAAAGTCAAAGCAACAAAGAAACACACGCACACACACACATACACACAACCAATATAAAAATCAAAATAATAAGTAAGAGACTAATATGACAAAAAAATCCCAAATAACAAGAGACAATAAGTTTTAAAAAAATAGCCTTGAGTTCATTTTGTGTAGAGGAGAGATGCAGTCTCCCGCTGCAATTAATACCCAGTGGCAGAGGAAACCAATGAGTCCTCTCAGTGGAATCTCACTGTCTATATTAACTACATCTCAGGACAGATCCCATGACCAGAATCATTTGTCCATTATAGTCTCCCTTTAGATTTCTCAATACATGTCACTGTCTCCTTTGTCATAGGAATGAGTTATCTGGTGCTGAGAAACTTTTCACATTGTTTACTCTTTTCTTACATCCTAAACATAGCATCTACCTAATAAAGGCATTAAAAAAAAAAAACTATGAACAAAAGTAAGTCAGTGGTAAATGAGGGAACCTGGTCTGGTAGGATGAAAATGGGAAACATTAAAGTAAAAATAAAATGAGTATAAATATCAATGTATTACAAACAAAAGCAGACTTTTGTTTTGTAAAATTGAAGAGTGGGAGGGAAGAAAGATGTGTTGCTGCCAGCATACCTATTTAGAAATACATAAACTGGGCAGTAATTGTTAAAATTAGATAATCAGAAGGAACCCCAGAGATATAGATATTTAAAAATATTAAACGGATACAAGAACTAGATGGCATTTCAAAGTAACTTAAAATTACCCAGCCAAAATGTGAGTAATTTGAAGGAAACATTACTCAATTATTGAACAATGGACAATACTTTATGGTACTGTCCAAAAATATCTGGAGACAATGATTTTTAACTTTTATTAACGTCATTCAGTTTAGGCCAAAGTTGAAATCTCTTACTTTTTAAAGGTAAAATCATCTAGAAAAATATGGGGAAAGAGAAAATAATGTGATGGTCCCATTCCCATACTCACAGATATCATGTATGTTTCCCTTAAATAGAAAAGGGGCCATCATAGAGTGAGAAGTGCTTTCTCCAAAAGAATTCAATAACCATTTTGAGTCCTATATATAAACACATTTTGAGTTCTATATATGAGCACTTTAGATAGCTATAGCAGTTGGATTGATTCTTGTGTCAAGAAGAGCTTCAGGTAATAAATTCAAAATAAATAAAATAACATTAAAAAACCAACATTTTTGTTGAGCACCTACCCATTAACAGATATTTATTATTATCTTTTAAATGACAGTTTAATGAGAGAGAGCAAAAGAAGGGTGTTGATTCAGATGGGAGGGGAGGTAGAGAGATCTGGGAGGAATACAGGAAAGGAGAAACCTTAATCAGAATATATTGTATGAAAAATATATTTTCAATTATAAAAAATTACATAAAAAATAAATCTAGATGCACTGAAGTTATTTAACTATTAATGGCCATAATAATGGTTCTTTTGTTCAACAAAAAGACAGAGGATTCCAAATTAAAATACAGAACAAAGATAAATCAACATTTGTAATGCTGTGGATGTTGATGATGGTTGGGTCTGGCTGCCACCTCCTCTCTCTACTGACTGTTAAAAACATTGTAAATGAGGAAGTCCAACCATGTGTGCCTTCTGGTGAGAGGGAACAGAAAACAGAGGGAACCACTACCAAGTACTGCTAGAAAAGAAATCATGCAATTTCTGATAGATTCCAAACACAGAAGAAAAGTTTGAAGATTTCCATAAGAGGAATTTTTAGGACTGTATTTTATTCATTGCTTCTTTAATTATGTGTATATGTGGGGGATGGTGCATGCACATGAGAGTAGGTGATGACAGAGACCACAGGCATTGGATCCTCTGGACCTGGAGTTGCATGAATTTTCAGGTTGCTCCAATGTGTGTGCTAGAGACAAACCTGGGTTCCTTTGGAAGACCTGTGACTTCCCTGAACCAGTGAGCCATCTCTCCAGTCCATAGCAAAAGAAAAAGGATTTTGAAAGTGTTTGTCACTACTTGGACAGCTGCTACTGCAATATCTCATAACTTGCAATATTATGAGATTTAGTGGGAGATGTGGAGGCAGAAACAGTTTATGTGGCCATTACTCTAACTACCTATGTTTCTTGAAGAAAGTTGTATTTTGTTTTTTAAGTCAGGCCTGCATAAAATGTTCTTGGATATAAATGAATATTCACTTCTAAAAGGGAACAGTGATAGTTTTCCTTTTATGTAAATTTAGAAAATTCACTCAATTAGTTAAATACCAGTTATGGCTATTGGTACTTCTGCTGTAGAAGTAGCTACTAAAATGTAATCTCAGGGCCAGGTGGTAGTGGCACACACCTTTAATCCCAGCACTCGGGAGGCAGAGGCAGGTGGATATCTGTGAGTTTGAGAACAGCCTGGTCTATAAGAGCAGAGAAACCCTGTCTCGAAAAGAAAAACCATATATATATTCAGTATTTAGGGAGTATTTTTAATTGAAAAAATATATATATATTCAGTATTTACGGAGTATTTTTAATTGAAAAAAATGTTTGCACTTATCGTTCATTGTGTCCTATTTTTTTCTTTTCCTAAAATTATTTTTAAGAAAGCCTTTATTGTCATGTAAGACCATTTGGAAAACACTATTATAGGAGAAAACACCAAAGAATCTCAGGTAGTATAAAATCTTGCTCTCACCAGTCCATTTGGAAGACAATTGCTGGTGGAAGAAATTTGGTAGAGTAAGATGAGAGCAGGTAGACTGGCCTAAAGGTCAGAGATGTTACCAGGGAGAACTTGAGGACCAGCATAGACCAGAGACCAAGTGACTTGATGGGCAACTGTACTAGAAACAAACTGCTTAGATTTCACAGGGAGACACAAGAGGTTTCTAAACCCAGAGAGAAGAGTTCTAGAAAAACTGCAGTACTAAGATAAATAACCTCTAAATGGGCACAAAGACCAGTAACCATAACTTACATTTGTCTGAATACAAATTTTCTCATGCAAAACTCAGCCTGTCCTTTGCAAACAGGAAGAAAGGAATCCTACCTCCAAGCTTTCCCCTTTTAGTCTTCAAAACTTAAGTCCATTCTCTACTTACCCACAAGGCCTATAGGTGAACACAATGTAACTCTCTTCATCACTTCTCTCAGTGAAAGTCACACATGTGTGCTTCTCCCAGTGTCTCATGGCCTGCTTGAACATGGCTCGCTGGCTGCCTGGAAAAATTCATGACTTTATAAAACAGTGTGGGCTTTCAGGGAGGTGTGTTTGGTGCTGGCTCACCCATCCTGGCTGGTAGTTCAGGATGCTAGCTGGTACTGTCATCAACTGTGCCTGGTTCACAAATGAGTCATTGCTCAGAATCCACACTCACTTTCTAGTCTAAGGGTTAAAGCCCATTAGCTCTACAAATATGTGTGTGCAAGACCCTGAGGATGGTGTGTGCATTCATCTCCTCAGGGCAGAGAAGCTGCTTTCTATAGTAAATTTGAAACAGTATAAAATCCAGCACAATACTTTAGACTCTAAATGAAAGACTAATGATATTTTACTTCAACTTTGGAAAGTTTTAATTTAGCAACCCATGTTAATTGAGCTTTTTCTCACATTTGATTGGATAGTGTATTTTCTATAAAACACAAGACCTGTATAACAGATTTCCTTGAACACACACACACACACACACACACACACACACACACACACACACACTGAGACCATCTTACCAGTAAAGTTGCCTCCTATGACATAAGGAATGACACCTCCAGGCCATATTCTTTCTGTTCTTGATGTAGCAGCTCTGGGAACTCGATTTTTCTCATTTTGCTCTGAGAATTTTGGAGGTGCTTTCCCTTTAGTGGTTTTATTTTGCTCCAAGCCTGCAGTAACATTTAAAACATCTGTCAAACAGAATCATACTCCTCTTAAAGGATGAAAGTTCAAGTATCGTACATATGTATATGTATAAATATGCCCAAAATGCATTAAAGGAAAATGGCAGTCATTTTACATGTTTACGAAATATATAGAAATAAATACTAAGTATTTCAAGCCCAAATATCACTTCTTAATGTCCTATGTATGAGTCATGATGGATTTTCATATTTCAGACACTAGGGTCTAAAATTATTGAAAGAGTATAAGGTCATGGAAAAGTCTTCTTATGCTGCCTATCTTATCAGCCCATGAGCCATTCACCACCTGATAAAATAGATACTGTTCAAGAAAAGAGCTCAACACTCAAGATTATTTCTTTAAATTGTTCTGGCCAAGTACTTTCATCATTGAAATCAAGGTTAGTATTCCAATAAAATAGCCTAAAGCCATAAAAGTTACATCATATACACAGTTAAGAAAAATATGTGCTGTTCACTGAGACCATAGGCTATCTCCATTCCTTTCTTCCCCATACTACTTCAGCTATCAACATGAGCTATAGGCTGCTACAACACAATAACAGAATAACAAAATGCTGCCTAGTTGGTGCAAACTCCAAGTCAAGAGTTTTACTTTCTTTGCCTTTCTTGGAATTTTTCTTGGTTTGTTTGCTTTTCACACATATTAAAGACTATTCTTTTCTTTCAACAGTGTTACTGTGATTCCCCTCACTATGAAATGCTCTATTGTGACAAACACTGAACACAGACTCCCATGACAAAGTCTTGAGTGTGTCTATCTCTTCAATGTCCTTGAGCAAACACATAGTCTTTCTTAGGAAGATGACTTCTGGAAAGCACCTTCACAGATCATTGAATTATTTACCTATTTCTTGAAAGAGTATAAGGACATTAAACCCAAATAAAGGGCTTTACAAAAAGGTTTCAGAACCTATGAATGACAATAAGCTGAATATTTATGCATGAATAATTATGAGACCACAATAAAGTTTTATGAAATATATACATGAATACATAAATATTTTTGTTTTATTTTGTTTTTTGGTTGTTTTTAAATGTTTTTATATTCATGTATGCCGTGTTTTGCTTGCATGTATATCTGTCAGTACATTTCTGCCTGATGCCTACAGAGGCAAGAAAAGGTTATCAGGTACCATGGGACTGGAATTAAGTTGTGAACTGCAATTCTGGTGCTGGGAATTGAACTGAGGTCCTCTGCTTGAGCACCCAGTGCTCTTAACCTCTTAACCAGTGCTCTGATTTTGTTTTTTGTTTGATTGTGGCTTGTTTTTATTTTGTGGAATATTTGTATTTGTTTGTTGTTTGTTTGTTTGTTTGTTTTGAATCAGGGTCTCAAGTATTCCTAAAATCTACAGTGTAGCTCAGGCCCCCTCTAGCTATGGCAATACACTTTAGCCAACCTCCAAAGTGGTATGGAGAACAGGCATAAACCAACATTCCTGGTCCAATTCTTTCCTAAATTGAAATATCCTTTTGTCAAGTTAATAAAAATAGCTTTCATTTAGAAATAAATACTGCTGTGACTTTTTTCATTTAATAAAAATTCTTTATGAGATGGCTTATAAAATATTTTCACATGGTACTTAATGAACTGGAAATAAATATCAACAATTAATTAATATTTAAATCATTTTATATAAGGAAAAGCTCAAGCTAAGCAAAAAGAATATTTCAATTTTCTCTAACTTAAGCTCTTTAACCAGACGTGAGATATCAATTAACAAAAAAAGTGATTCTTTCTCAGTATATCATTTACCTACTTTAAAAATAGTGGCACACTGATCTTAATAAACTGAATTTCTATTGGGTAACATTTTTAATGTAATCAGTCAAGTGTCTGCAACTTTAAACTTGATATACCAGAGCCAAGTCGTCTTATCCTGTCTATAAGTTGGTAGAGAGCCCCTCGTTTCTTTGGTATGCCATGGTCTCCAAATCCACCTAAAGAATAAAAGAAAAATATTGTCTAATACTGTTAGCCCTTGCAGATAAACATTAGCAATAATTCTGTTTTCTCCTTGGTTGTGTTTTTATGTGGAATTAATTCATTAGGAATTATTATTCATGAATCTTTGTAGAGAGCAAAGTTTCTACAGGAACACAGGAACTAAAAATAAGAAGGTGGGAGAAACTCAGCAAGCAAACTAAATGACTTTATTAGGGCATCATGACAATTGAGTTATCTATTGATAATCTGAAACATTTTTCTTCTCAGTGACCTTGACACTAACTGTTACCACATAACTATGCTATGCTGAATGTCAGGAAGTCACAGGGCCCTATTGATTGCTTCCCAGCTACTTCCTCTGTGTAAACTGAGTCTGTTCAGATGTCTTGCCAGGAAGTGGAAATCAAAACACTAGAAGAGTAAGTTTGCAGAGCAAGTCTTGTTCCTAAACTTTGATATATCAGGTCAGATTTTATAATGCATTCAGTTACATCATGAAAGTTATTTTCCTTAATTTATATAATAAAGAAAATTTCACAGGGTCCGTACACCAAAGGATGTTCAACTACAAAATGTGTTATATTATGAGATTTGCAAGAATTTAAAAAAAATAATAATAGAATACCCTCAAAGGATGTTTCAGACATTAAGGAAGAAAAGAAAAGGTTAAAGAAACCTAACCTCTTAAAGAAGTCAAATGTCCTTATAAGGCAAACAGTGGGAGCATGGGCTAGTAGTCTGTTTAATTATCTGCATTACATAGTCACATTTTTGCTGTGCATCTTGAGAAAAATTTTTGAAATTTTTCCATCAGGCATTTCAGAAAGATGAGGTCACACTCAAATGTACTCATTCCTATGCAGCTACTTGAAACCTTTTTAAAGTATGGGCTCTACATGTTTTAAATAACCATTTTATGGAAACTTTAGTTATATTAGATGGAGTCAAAATACTTATCAAAAAGAAAGAAGTGTTTGGATGCTATCAAGATAGTTCTATGGATGGAAAAGGTAATTTTGTTTGTGAGAATATTTTAGTAATTTTGAATAATATGTAGAATAAATGAAATAAAGTTGGACAATGGTGCCTCACTAAACTTTAACAGGTGTATTTAATTTTAACAGGTCAATTGTTCCAGAACAGAATGGAACTATAAAAATCAAATGTTTATTTATTTGTCAATATAACCCATACATTTTGAAATTAGAAGAAGAGGAAAATAAGAACTCTATATAAACAAATTCCAAGGAAAGGGAAAATTAAGTAAAATCATAAAATATAGGACACTTAAATTATTTGAAGGTCACTTATAGAGTGAAAAGTTACAAAGAAGCTTTTCTGATCTATGCATTTGTCAGCCACAGATTTATAGTGTTTATATTTTCAAAACTATACTGTGTCCTATACTATATACTTAAAGAGATATTTTCCCTCCAACTATGTTATCTCAGAACCTACATTTAAATGAAATAGCAATATTAAATGATAGTGTTAGTTTTTTTAATCACAGAAAATCAATGGCTCTAAAATAGCATAGGAAGTGAGCCCTAAGGAATGACCTAACTAACACTTATAGCAAAGGGTCACTTTAATAAAAACTCAAAAGGCAGTTTGACATACACAATGTTTTGCCAAGTAGTGTCAGTTCTTTATTGTCCAGAATAAACTGTCCCCATAAAAGCTGGAGGAAGAAGCATACTGTAGAGGAACGTGCTGTCCAATTTCCATTCTGAGCCTAGTAGAGAGGGCTTGGAAAGAAGGCCAACTATGACTAAATAGATATGAAAATGTCATGAGGAGACCTGCACCTTTGCTTGTGTATGTGTAAGAGATTAAAGAAAATTGATGGTTTTGAAAACCCAAGTTCACATATTTATATTTGCAATGTATATACATGGGTCCAGGTCTAGGAAAGATTGTCACTACATATAATAAAGGCCAAAGCATATTATTTTTTAGTAATTCCTTAGAATTTAGCTTTTGTATTCCTCATGCAAAGAATTTTCTTGGCTATGAGAATATTTTAACTGGACAGGTCAATGCTCTTATTTTAGAAACTGCTTGATAAAGTGTATAATATGGAAATATGATGTTGCATTTTACACATATCTTCTGTAATTAATTTTGAAGTGTTTTCACACATGTGCGTATGCATATCTGCAGACACACACCAATTGTTAACATCTGTCACTTTTAGGAACCATCCCACTGGCATCCTCTGCATTACCATACTGCTTCTCCATGTTTAGATTTTGCTTAAACAAAAGGATACTAAAACGAATAAGCTAGACAAATATTGATGAACAGTAAAAAGTCTTAACTCTGAGACAGATTTATCTGCTGGATAGCAGAGAGGAATCATATGCATATATAATATTACTTAGGATAAGATAGTGGTTCTCAACTTTCTAATGCTGTGGCCCTTTAACACAGTTCCTGATGTTGTGGTGACCCACAAACAAAAAAATAAATTTTCATTGCTACTTCCTAACTATAATTTTGCTTCAGTTATGAGTCTTAATGTAAAGATCTGATATGTGACCCCTGTGAAAGGGTCATTTGTCTCTCAAAGGTTGAGAATAACTGGGAAAAGTAAGAAAGGGAAGGTCAACCTAGCATAGGGCAGAATTAAATAAGATAAAAGGAATGCATCAAATCAATGTTTTAATGCCTGGCACAATAGCATATGATTAAAACAGCACTTGGGAAGTGAAGGTAGTAGGATCAGAAGTTTGAAGCCAGCAGGGACTGTATAGCAAGGTTGAAGTTAGGCCGGGCAACATGAGACACTGTCTCAAAAATAAATAAATAAGTAAGTAAATAAATAAATAAATAAATTAGATTTTTCAGCTATAACTAAAAAACAAAATCTCATCCTTATGTCTTTCAATCTCCTCTAAAATGGAACTCAGAATAAAAATTTTACTAAGAAACTAAAAAAGATATTTCACCCTTAAAAGATATTATTTTAAACCTCTGGGTTTCCATATAGGCATATTTCAAACATGATCAAAACATAGAAAATTGAAATAGCCTCCAGAGGTTTTTCATACAAGTTATCTGTATAGAGCCATGAATGGAGCTTATGTATAAAAGGGTTGTTAAATAAAATTATAAATGAAAGCTATGATAAGAACCTAAACTTTAAACTATGTTTATATCTGTGTAAAAAGTCAATTTTGATGTGGGGTTTTAAGATTATTCATATAATTTCAATTATATTTTGCCCAAAATAATTATAAATACGTTCAAATAGTCAATCATACCTGTGGTATGTCCAAGTTTTCCAAAGGGGCTCTGAGTCAGGTCAATTGTCCTGTCTATTTGGAAGATATTTAAGTCTTCATCGTCTAAGGCAATGTCGCCCCAAAACACAGCTAGAACAAAAAGTGGGATTAAAATAAAACAATTGTCAGAGTAAAATCAATGCATATAAGGTTAACTATAGAACATTATGAAATGGCTGGGGACCTGGCTCAGAGGTTAAGAGCACAAACTACATTTGTTTTCAGTAACTACCTCAGGTGCCACAGGTACACCTATAACCCCATCTATATGGTCATTGCACTCATTTGTATACCCCTCCCCCACTCATATAATCACATAATTAAAAAATGAATCATTTTCAAGAGCACATTTTAAAGATAATCTTACCAGGGTAAGATTAGACTTGTCAGAATATAAATACAGCCCATCCCCAAGGTTGGTATTTTGACAGAAAGGAAAGAGTATTTTGTTTGAAGGAGCTGATCTACAGGGAGCAGCTGGTGCCATGAGCTAATCTGCAAATTTATGAAAATTAAATATGAATGCTTGCATTTTCTATGGATGCCTGTGACCCTGTGCAAGCCTTCACCAACAGGTGGAAGTAGTAACAAGGAAAAGATGTACTAAGAGAACTCAATTCAGTAAGATTTAATCCAAAATAGGAAGGCTGTATGGTGGCTGCCACTCACTCAGCACTGTCTGTTGCTTCTAAGGCATGTCTAAAAGACCAAGTTGCCTCTAGGAATTTAGAAATGGATGCACAATTTTAAAACTAAGTTTTAAGTCCATGTTTATTTAGGCATCAACTATTTGCCGTGCTGTTAATATTTAACAACTAATAAGTCACATTTATCACTTATGGAACTTCAAAATTATTCCATAATCCAGAACACACAAATTTGATACAAGGCTTTATGTTTTGCTACAGAAAAAAGCAAAGATCTATAAGCCATTGTGAAAGAATGGGCCTCATTCATAACTATCATATAAATTTATCTTTTAAGATCATAAATACTAACATAATAATGAAATAGAAGCCTTGTTCAAATTGAAACTAAGCCTCTGATTACTTTGTAGCAAAAGATGTCACAGTACCCTAACATCAGGATACCTGGCAGAGAGGATGCATTTATCATGAGAGAGTAAGTCTCTGAAAAATGCCTAGAACTTCCAAGATTATTTTTCATTTTGTTCTTTTATCTGTCTTTTCATTTTAATACTGGTTTACAAATACTCTTTTTTAATTAACTTTATATTTTTCTGTAAAACAAAAAGGGGAAGGTAAAAAATAAAGATTTCTGAAGTAATAGAAACCCTCCTTTTAAAATTTATGTCTTCTATTGGACTGTAATCTCTATCTTTATGAATTTTAGCACTATGAAGAAATAGTTAATAAAAAAGTAGTGAACTTATAAAATTTAAACTCCAGTTCTAAATGTTATGAACTGTTTGGAGCTTTCATCAAAGGCTAAGCATATTATATAATTAATTTAATTAACTGTCGAGTTTGGGTTCTTCCCACAAAACTGAGAGGTGAGTAGGTCAGACTGATGTACAAATCAAGATAGGAAGAAAACAGAACTCAGTTCTAGTTACGTTATCAATTCAAAATATGGGTAATTCTTTCTTAACTTCAAACTCCCCTCTCAACTGCTTTCTCCCTCCACACCACCAATGCTGAACTCTGTCAGCTGAATGGCAATCTAATCACCATAGAGAAAGGCTTACTGTCAGTTATGATCATAAAAACAAAGTCATAGAGAGAGAACAGTTTATATTACTCAAATCTTTGATGCCCAAAATTAAATCCAGACTCTAAAATTGAATTCCACTTCCTACACATGCCACAGAAAACATAAAGGCTCTCAACACCCGTATAGCCACTCGTCTCATTAAAGAGATAATCTACTTTAATTTATTATTTTATCTATCATAACAAAAGAATCATGGGTTTTCATTAAAATAAATTTCAAGGTTTTCAGGTAAATTCAAGTTTACTATTCTTTAAAACACTACCAGTATATATATGACTGAGACAATAGTTGTGACCACAGGCAAAGTCAGCCCATTTCTTCCTTAAGACTGTAGTCCTGCAGACAATGAGAGCCTGAAGTCAAGCTTCTCTAACTTTGAACAAGAATCAGAGAACCTGCTTAAAACAAAACCTTAGTATTTAATGGGTCTGGAAATGAATCTCAGATTCCTACATTTAGTAAACTCCCAGTTACTGGGAATAGCTATCACTATCATCATCTTTAATACTATTCAATTTTATTTCTGTAGGAATAAACTTTCAGACTGGCTAGAAATCTAAGGCATAACACTGCTGAAATATCAGTTTTTCAGCTCTACATTTTAAATACTAAGTAGAGTTACAGTAAATTTAAATATGAGTGTGTTTTAGAATTTTTATCATTTTTTATTTGAATTAGAAACAAGATTGAATTACATGACAATCCCAGTTCCCTTCTCCCTCCCTTCCACCCCTGCCCTGCCCCCCAACTAATTCCCTACCTATCACATATCCTTTCTTCTAATCAACACCTGACTCAAACTTTCTGGAAATCTAAGGCATAACACTGCTGAAATATCAGTTTTTCAGCTCTACATTTTAAATACTAAGTAGAGTTACAGTAAATTTAAATATGAGTGTGTTTTAGAATTTTTATCATTTTTTATTTGAATTAGAAACAAGATTGAATTACATGACAATCCCAGTTCCCTTCTCCCTCCCTTCCTCCCCTGCCTTGCCCCCCAACTAAAACCCTACCTATCACATATCCTTTCTTCTAATCAACACCTGACTCAAACTTTCTGGTCCCTCATGACCTCTGCATCCTTCCTCTTCTTCTCTTCTCATTCTCATAGATCCCTCCTCCCTCTTCCCATGCTCTCAATTTACACAGGGGATCATGACCCTTTTGTTTCATATGAGTTGGCACAAATGCCCTTATATGTTACACCAAACACAGTAAACAAATTATGGATTATATATGTAACAGAATCCAAAAACATTACTTCCAGAGAGAGAAGAAGAAGAAGAAGAAGAAGAAGAAGAAGAAGAAGAAGAAGCATGAGGTCAGTTGATACTTAATTACAGACAAACAGTTATAGAGGATATAAACCCATTTTATTTACCAACTTTTGTTCTAACTCATAGCTTCAGATACAGCTTGGCAGGCAGTTCTAAATGCTCTGTAAACTAACTGGTCCAGGAGAAGACTAGTCACTTTCTTGGAAGTAGTGAGTGAGGAAGCCAACTCACCTATGTGCTGTTGGAATGCATGTTAGACCCCATACATCTTCAAATCCATGTTAGGAACACACACACACACACACACACACACACACACACACCACACACACTCACCACCACCACCACCACCTTACCTCCTTGCAATATTTACAGTGTCCAATTTCTCCATATTGCACAATTTTTGGTTTTCTTATGGCATCTCTAGTTAAATCTAAGTGTTGTTTTTCTGCATGCTAAAATAGTCTGAGCACTGTCTATTTGGCTTCTTTATTACAATCTGCTATAGATTTGATAGTTATGGGCAAAGAAGATGTGGAATTTTATTTTAACTAGGTAAAGATGTGTTACATTTGTTTATACTGTGGAATATTACTTTAACTATGTCAAGGTGTGTTACATTTATTTCTGCTGTGTTTATTTAATTATGCAAAGATGTGGTTCCTTTGTTTCACCTTGCCCGCCTAAGGCAACTGATTGGTCTAATAGAGAGCTGAATGGCCAATAGCTAGGAAAAAGAGGGATAGGTGGGGCTGTCAGGCATAGACAAAATAAATAGGGGGAAATCCAAGCTTAAGAGAGAAAAGCAGGAGAAGATAAACAGGAAGAAAGAGAAGGGCACACCTGGGACCAGAAGCCAGGCAACCACCAGCCTGGCTGGTATGAGAAATAGAAAAAGTAAGATATACACAAAGAAAAACAGGTAAAAAGAGGCAAAAACATAGATAAAGAGAAGCAGGTTGCAGATTAAAATAAGAGCTAAGATAAAGCAGAGTGTTTATAATTAGTAGTAACTCTACATATTATGATTTGGGAGCTGGTTGATGGCCCAAGAGAAAGCCTGGTACACAAATAAATACATGAGACTCTACTGTGGACTTTTTTTCTCTTCCTTTTCTGTATTTTAATCTTGTGATCTTGATTTTAAAACATCAAAAATTAAAGAATGAAAGTATTAATTACTACTAATTTGACCTATTTAATACAATGATTTGGCATTGATGACATTAGAGCTGGGAAGAATATAGGAAGCTGCTCTATGGGATGACACTATGAATTAAGTGCTCAATGGGATTAAAGTATTTCCTAACTGTCTGGAATTTTGTTGGGATTCCTGTGGCCAAAAGGGAACTGGAGAAAACTAGTGGGCCAAAACTAAATGTTGAATGGGCAATTTTGAAACTACATGCAAAACCACAAGTTTTGGTTTTCACCTAAAGGTCATTTGTCTTCAATATCCTACAAAATTGGGGGTGGCAGAAAACCAGGACTGCTACAGTACACAGAATAAATATACAATGTAAAACAATGTATGGCAAGACTGTACAATCTAAGCTCCTTACACTCCCTGTAAAGTGTCTTAAACCACACAGAATAAATGATAGAATTAAAAACAAAAGATTTAATTACAAGTTATTAAGTAGGAGACCATTGAGGTAGCTTGTAAAGGTACTTGCCACCAAACCTGATACCCTGAGTTACATCTGCAGGGTCCACATTGTGGAAGGGGAAAATCAACCTACTCCTCCAGGTTGTATCCTGACGTCTACATGCATGCTGTAGAAATCTCATGCATAAAATCACACATGAGAAAGAGAGACAGAGACAGAGACAGAGAGACAGAGAGAGAGGAGGAGCAAAAGAGAGATAAATAAATAAATAAATAAATGTACTTAACATGCTTAAACAAGAAGAAAGCATATTTTGTCTACTTTATTTCCTTTAACTTTTAGTGCTAATGGTAGGTCCAATGGGTAGTTGTGAGGATTAGGGTCTTTGGTACCTCATATCTTTCAATAACAACATAAAATATGTATGAGTTTATAAACAGGGAGCCCACCCATTTTTCTGGAGAAA